CTCGTGAGGTGCGGGAATTGTAGAGCGTTAAGGCCGCACGGCTCTAGTTTGTTCGGGTGTAACGAAACTAGGCCCGTGACACATGGCTGGTAAAGCTGATCTTGCTTCCTTTTATATTTTACGTGGAGTGGACTAGGCAATACTAGATGTGATTAAGAAGTTATGTAGTCAGTGTAGTGTTGTTCAGTATTTTGTACCAAACATGTTTTTAATAACTTTGATTGTGCTCTCAAGCCAATGGGCTGAAAATTTTTCTAGGCTCATATAGTAATGCTTCTGTTCTAAATTTAGCTGCTTTATTATTGAAAATTTTCATTTTGCAGTCATGTGGCTTCACTTTCTGCTGGAAATTATGGAGTTCCTGTTGTGGTGGACGGTTTCTTCTATGGTCGAGCCAGTGGAATGGCTCCAATGCACGGTCTAGTACTTAATCCGTTGTAATCTTAAAACTCGGAGATTATTCACTGGGCTGACTTGACCAATAACATCATTTATCACTTAAATGAAAGAATCCTAACATTGTTACTGGGAGTTATTTCGTATAAATGAAAGGGGGAAACAAGGAGAATTCCGCGTAAAATCCGAACATAGCTGTGGGATTTGCCTCCTACAGTTTATATCCTGCCGCCCCTTTTCTGGCCTTGTTGATCCCATCTGTGCCTCGGTTCCAGGACTCATCTTTTCTTCAGGTAAAGTCCTATAACCTTTCCATGCTTTGATCGCCGTAGGAGGTCTAATTCACTTACGATGCAGGATACAAAGACTGAGTTTCTTGTGCTCACTTTCAAGCTCTGATCCAGCAAAAATCAGAACTGTCACGGGAGGATCATGTCAACTTTTAGCAACCCGACTGACCTGAACCTGCCCTTGGTAACAATATCTGTGCTATCTGGCTCACGATTTGTACACAGGATTTCAAGACTTATCCATGTGCAGTGCTCCAACCAAAGGGAGTGAGTGTTACAGTAAATCCACTGCAGTACTATTGCTCCAGAAGGAAACCAGAATTTGGAGATTACTAACTGTAATACAAGTACTTGATAACTTCAGTTTCAGTGGAATTGTTCTGACAGGGAGTCTAAATCACATTGTGAGGAAATACCACAAAACTGGACCCGGCCTAGTTGACACCAATGGTTCAGTGAAATCATGGAAAGTGTTAACAGTATAGAAATACACTGTAGATTTGCAACTTAAAAAGCTAAGGAAAAATTCAGTGGCGCATGAAATTCTAATTATATGTTAATTCAATCAGTGAAAGTTAAAAGGACCCTTTAACATGTCAAGGAGGAAAATCAAGAATAAACGAATGTATGTTACGTATAATTGGAGATTGAATAGAATGCAATGACTAAATCTACGATCACAAGTGCTATAAATATAGATTAGACTCTATCCCTGCAAGAATTCTTCCATATTACACATACAAGCCGAACACCGTGGATATCTGTATACACTCCTTCCAACCGGACGTGAAAATACTCGTTTGTTTTGTCTCACGGCCTTCCTCACTCTCTGCTCAAACACTTTCCACTCTATTGTATTGTTTTTCACGAAAATATCAGATAGTCGGCGTTTGTTTGGCCGTATTGTTGGCATTCTTCCCCCACCATAATAGATTCGATAACCAGCTACCAAGGAAGAAAATTGACTTCCCGAGTCTGTCATGGCAAATATATCAGCAGCCGTGCAGACTATGAAGTCCAACGCCGCCAGCTGCAATAAGAATTTGGCTTATAAAATCATTCACCAAACCACTCGTGCCACTATTCAGAATCAGCTAGTAATATGTTCTGATTACGAACTTGTCAACATGATACGACAGCAAAATATTGCTGCGATCTTCAATGAAGAGATAATGGCATAGTTTACCTGAGATGAGAAATTTGCGAATGGTTGAATTTCAGTTGGAGAGAGCAAGTTCTCTTTGGTGACTAAATTAGGAAACAAGGTAGTTAAGGCAGCCAATCTTGACTTTCCTCCATAAATATGAGCACCAGCTAGGAAAATATGGCTCTTTCGATGGAAACCAAGGGCAGCTAGCATAAGAACGGTCTCTTCGGGCATCAATGGACACAGTCCATCAGATCTTAGTTCTGCTGGGGAAGGCAACCTACAAAATTTTCATTGATTAAAAAGTGAAGAACAATGACAGACAAAATAATCATTTCACTACAGCAATGCAATCCTAATCAACAAGATTAAATTTGCTAATATCTGTCGTCCTATACCATTGTGTTAATTGGATCTTGGAAAATTATGCCACAAAAACTTTAGAAATGGAAGAAATGTACACATTCCAAAATGCATTTCTGTCCCTCAGGTTCAATTATACCCAAGTAACAACAAAGAAATATACAACAAATTCAAGCCCAAGTTAGCACAAAGTTTTAAAAATGCCTATGAAAATCCTGAAGATACTGTAGATTCATACTTTTTCATCTTCTTTAGCTCCATTAATGCAGGAAAATGGATTTCACGATAAGCCTCCAATTCCCGTCTTTCTTCTTCACCTCCACCATATTCACACAAAGAATGAGCCACCATGTCAATTTCAAACCTTAGATGTAATGCTAGGTATCTGGATTTCTTAGCAGCACGGTCTTTTTGACCTTTCACCTCTGATTTTGCAAATGGGCCAACAAGATAATGGTCCAAATGCCCCAACCCTGTATCATTTTGACGCATCCTTTGGATGAGTAAAGCACCAGCTTCTTGAATTTTGGGAACAAATTTCAGTGCATGAAAATTGCATCTGCATCGAAGTCTCTAGATGAAGTTTTTTTAATTAGGAAGCAATGCCGAGAAAAACATCAAGGGAAATGAACTAAAAACAATGAGAAGTTTGATGGATTCAAAATGAAGTCATTCTCATAGCTGGCATTAACTGATATGTCAAAAAGGGCTATAAATACCTGCAAATGAAAAGGTACTGGATCAGATGCCAATCGGTTCCCAAATCCAACAAAATGAACGACCCTGTTCAGATGTAAAATGGGAAGGATGTGTTTCAAGTAAAAACTTGGCTTAGCCTCTTTCACAACATCAACATCTGTAACCTGAAATACGAGTGCAGAGATTAATTAGACGATTACAGTACATCACCGAGCAGATTTTACATCAGAAGCTATTATCTAGAATAGAGCGAGACAAGGATCTCACCACACTACCAATTGCCTCTAGATCTAATGACTGTAATTCCTTAGGAAGTTCCTTGACTATGCGAATATCAGGCTTCAAGTAGTTGATGAAATGCTCCTCCTGATAAATATCGTCGAACTGACTAAGAAAATATACAATTTGACTGTTAACCTTCCACTTAAAGAACATGTTCTATATTAAAGATCACATATACAGTGACAAGTATTTAATGAAGATATAAAACACCATTGCGGAATTTGTTACAAAATTTTCAAGTTAGACATATAATCATAAAGGTTGTTCTGAAATGGTTAGAAAAGTATGAGATTCATTTTATTTCTCCCCACTTCTCAGCCATATCAATCTTCTTTCCTCTCTTTCAGCACCGATACTTCAGCATAAAATCCTCCTTGATACATTGGTAAGCTACCAAAAAATCCAGAATCACATGCTCCCAGGTTGACCATAGAACAAGGGGAGTAGCTGTAAAATATTACTTGTTCATGGTCTGGCACACTAAAGACTTTGCTAAGTACTTCACCTTGAGTCTTAAACGTTATTGTTTTTCTCTGCTCTGTACATGTATAGCGTGTTGGCAGGTTGATAACCAGTATGATCTTTGTTGCACCTATCAACAAATCCTACTAACCATTCTATTAGTGCCTCCCCCACTAGCAACATGTTGCATTAGACCCTAAGTGTATTATAAAGGGAGCAAGGGTTACTTAGGGCATAGCCATAAGTAAAGCGGCATATTGACATCCGAATATGTTGAGACGTACGTAAGGGTTACTTAGGGCATAGCCATAAGTAAAGCGGCATATTGACATCCGAATATGTTGAGACGTACGTTTCAGTTGACAAAGTTAAGAAGTTAGTATGGCATGGGTGGGAAATTGGAGTGTAGAGGCACTTACATTAAAATCTTTAACTAATAAAAATCTTTAAGTAATAGATGTAATGTGTAGGAGGAAAGTCAATGCCATTTGCATACAGGAGGTGAAAGGAGTTGGAGAGAAGGCAAAGAATTAGAGAGGTACTTATAAACTTTTGTACATAGGTAAAGAAAAGAGTAGACAGATCTGGTATAAAGGAAGTTGCTATACTAAAGTGTCAAACGTGCCATCCCCACAATATAGAGTCCCATGACACATACCTCTCATCCCAACATATAGGTAGACTAGCACATAGGCCGATTAAAAAAAGATCTATGCAAGTTTCACAAATATTAAGAGAAGCTTTTCATTAAGATTTTATAAAAATAAAAAATAAAATTATGTTTTAGAAAAATGCCAAGGGCATTTCGGAATATTGGCCCTGCAAGGCCTGTCATTTTTCTTGGATTGTGCCTATATGACGTCTAGGATAGGCCATTATGGGCTTAAATGGCCTAACCACTTTAACCTCCTAGTTAAGACATGTGAGTTCATACAAGAATGAATAAATTAGAAATGATGATATATGTCAATAATTGAGGATAACTAAAAGATTCATGACTTAGACAATAGGAACATGGTTTTTTTTTTTTTCCCCCATCCGCTTGAAGCTTTCTACCACTAGAACATGGAAATCTTATTTGAGCATTATAGCTGAAGAGTAGACCAAATCCAACATGATGCTAGAACAGTTGCAAAAGAGGAATTTTTATATTGAACCTTCAGTAGATATAGCACTGGACAGAACAAAGTCCTGGAAACGTATTCATGTAGCTGAAACCCCGAATTTATTTAGAATAAGACTAAACTTGTTGTTTCTATTCAATCTTATTGGGTATTCAGAATTATTGAACACTCCCCGAGTAAGACTGTTCTATACAATATTCCCTAGCAAAACCCCCCCACCATGCAATCCGTCTCTATCCAAGCTCCCCTCACCCACAAACCCTAGCTAGTCACTGCCTATCAGGACCATCCCCAAAATTCCCTTTCCTTAATATCACTAAGCCACCACCCATCGTCAATATCCCATCTCTCACCCTCTTAGTAACTTCCTCTTTCTTCCCAGACCACCCTATAGCACCCTAAATCCATTAAACCATGTTATTATCCCCACTCTCAAACTTACTCCAACACCCCACCTAGTACAAACTCTTGCCACCACCTTGAAGTGTCCATCCTCCTGGCCCTATCAAGTTGCAACACTACCCCAGCCTTAACCTTATTCTCCATCTCCCAGAGTTCAACAGTAGATACTCCGTGGAAACAATTTTCTGGTAATGATTATTCCATGATTGGAGGGGTCAGTTGGGCTCAAAATATTAATTGAAACCTACCAGAAAAGCACACATCAAATTTAGTGTATTAAGGGGATTTGTGCAATATTTTCCGAAGTTTACATCTGTATTACACCTAGATGAATCACAATGGAGGAAGAGATTAAGTAAACTATCAAGATCATATTGACCATAAGCAATTTTAAGCGGGCAAGCATTTCCACAATTTCATTAGCATATGTAGATGCTCTTCAAAAGATTGTAAAATAAAATTTATTTCAATCTGATGTGAAGAATTAAGAGTATGCAATAAATGAAAACAACAAGAAAACCCTGAAACCACAATTTTGTATCAAATGAAGTAGTCTTTCACCTAGTATCTGTCCAAACAGTGCTGTACATAAATTTGGGAAGAACAAGTGTTGCATTAAGTAATCTGGCCACAGCAACAGCATTGCATACCTGTTGTCAGCGGCAAAATGATATGTTAGCAGATAGATTATGGTTTAAGGTGAGACAAAAAACTCCGAAGGAAGAAGTTAATTATACCATAAAGATTGGAAAAGTGTGAAAAATGAGCAGGAATTTAAGCATTGACACAACTTACAGCAACTCGCTGCTGATTTATTCCACCATTTGCAGTGACCATTATGTAACCATTTTTGCCCTCTAAAAATGGATTGAGTCAAGACTTGATGCATTCAAGCACAAATGGGCACACATATAAAGAGAAAGAGAAAGAGAAAGACCATTAGGTTCCCCGTCACGCATATGGGCACAAGGTGTCCAGGAAGAGGCACGCGTGTAGGGTTCCATCCACAAGTCTTTTGGCTCACGCTTATTCTGTCCCTGAAGTACATTAGGATCAAATTAAGAAATCAAATAGCACAAATATTTCCAAAACTGATTTAGTTCTCAACAAACCAGAAATAACAAAAACTACATTTCTAAATTTAAGCACACCTCAGCCAATGCATGAGCAGCCTTAGCCAACAGCCTTGCATAAATAGTTTTTCGGGGTTTCTTTCCTCTACCAAGCTTTTGCAGTTCTTCCTACATCAATAATGAAGAATTGTCTTGGTGAGTTCTTTTGCACGTTTTCTTAAAAATGGTAAGAAATATAAAACAAGCCACTTCCTTTCTCCCTTGAACTTAGCAAACATTCTCAAAAGATGCTTTGCATAAGTGACAAAGTGACAATGTTCCAAGTCCAGAATAAGTGATAAGAAGGGTTAACTAAATAAGGGAATGACTTCTCGACATTTCTCACGCTTGATAAATCAAGGGGATGAATTAATGCATTGTTTCCAACCATCTAAATCTGGAGTATAAGATTCAGATTAATCACACTGTTGTCTAGATAACAAACACATGTTTTAGTATCTGGATGAATCAATTTTGGTCCTAGCCTGTCAAAAGATTATTCAAACTTACCCCCATGAATTTCCTTCTCCTTCCGCCTGAGTACAATCTCAAGTTGTTACTACGAACTTTAGCTAAATCGAGATGCACTGCGCCCAGGCAGGTCGTAATTCGTTCATGAACTATTTAACTCATAGTTTGAATTTCACGGGATTTCACAATTTACAACCCCTTCATATGGATAATAAGCAATAATGTTCCTTCCAGATTTGCAACTAATATTTAAATACTCCTATGTGACTAAGCATCAGTTGTCCAATTATCCAATAGCTAAGCATCAGTTGTCCAATTATCCAATAGCCATACAAAATTGTTTTTTGATCTCTTTCAAAATCGAAACTCTTATTTTTCTCTTAAAGCCCGCTTCCAGGATTAACCATTCGTTATCTTCTCTTAAACCCATATAACTATTTCAACCAATAAAATAAGATGATCCGGAGAAGAGGGAAAAAATTCTTAACATACCCGGATGGAAACAGTGGAAGAATTAGCTTTCAAGAACCTGAACTTAATGCCGCCTCTGCTTCGACCCGAGTCTTGAATAGAAGATAGCATCAACCAGTTTATCAAGAAAAACACCCCTATAAATAAAGCCAATCCTATTGTCACTTTTTTCTTATACCATGCCTTTCTTTTACCTCTGCTCGTTCTTCTTGGATCAAACAACAAGCCACTGAGCCATCCATTCAACAACGACGTTGAGGAAACATGCTTCCCGGATCCGTGAGAGAAACGGATCGGACGTCCCGTCCCGGACGAATTTCTGGGCGAAGATGGGCTATGTCGAGAAGGGCTAGTCGATCTCCTCAGATTTTTGTCCACCCGTGCCGGGACCCCGGAGTCTGGCGGGTGTTCTTCATCGTCTTCTTTGGATGTATTATCAACTTTCATGATTTCTAAGAAATTGGAGTGGCTCTCGGACATTTTATTCTGGACTGTTCAACGATATTTAATGGATACAGTTTGTCTTGTTATTAGGACAAGGAAAGCGGAATCATCGGGAGGAGAAGCGGCGTTGAATGAATTTGATGAACGGAATGAGAGATTCCAGGGGGTCAGAAATGTTGTTAAATGCTAAATCTGGAGATCCCATTTGTTGTAAGAAAATGTTGAATACATTTTTCTTTTAAAAATCTTACCCCTTGTGAGATAAATATCATTCGAGACCTAAAAAGTGGGTGATTAATTGTTTTTCATTGAATAGTCGAACAAATTTCAGAGCACAAAAACGAATTAAGGGATTGTTTAATAAAGTTTTCAAAAAAATATTTAGCGAACTTTGATAAAAATTGATCTAATGTGTATGGATGAAAAGTTGATAACTAACACACATAAAAAGGTTGAGGGCGTCAACTGGAGACCCATTAAGGCTAGCGTGGTGTCTTGGACATATAACACGTCACCTACGATATGCATGAGAGGACCGATCGATGTATATGTTCAATCATCAAATTTTGATTAAAAGGATTATATATTTTCGCTGCCCAAGTCATCGTACCAACCATGGGATGATTGAGGATTGGTTGGTTCCTCGAGAAGTTATTCAGTGAGTGAGTCCTAATAAACTTTTACTATTACTCATCCTAATTCTTATCGGTTAACGAATCTAACCTATTCATAATTAGGATACTAGGTTGAAAACGCTTATATTTTCTCTCATTTATTTCATTCACAGCTTCAAGAAGCATTGACGGTGATTCGTCTTGGCGGTTATTATCTTGGATTTTTGATTGACCTCACTCCTCTCAGTTAAATTTTTTGGTAGTGCTAATTGCTGTATGTAAAAACTCGTTATCAAAAGCCAAGGTGAACGACGCAATCTTTATACTCTCAAATCAAGTAGCACTTTTGACAATTCAGTAAGCTCCTCTTGTAATAAGTTTATCTAATTCTTGCTTTCTTTAACCATTGTTGATAACTTGAGAAGCATTCCAATAGCTTAGGACAACAAGTTCCAATCATTGCACATCAAGCCGTACCTCCCTTTGAAATAACAACACAATTGAATCAACTGATCGTCTAATATAACAAACTTGAGAATGCGTGTGCCAAAAAAAAAAAAAAATTAGGAATCAAAGTGCTAAGATCCCAAAGGTTGGGGATGGTCCTATTTCCTCCAAGAAAGACTCCGATAATCTCACTGACCGATAATTCTTTCCAGACAAAGATGTTTAGCTAGCTCGAAATGTAGGAGAGTATATGCAAATTTATGAAATCCAAGTGACCAAAATCCAATTGACCCAATTCTTGGGGACACCTGAGCTACATCGGAACCTTGCACCAGTACCAACAGTGACGAGGTTCCTGTTCCACAACAATGCTTTCACATATATCATCAAGATAAAGACTTGACAGATTATCATTTAAAGATGACAAAACACAAAAAATAAAAATAAAAAATAAAAAAGCAGCCACGTAGCACCTGTACAAATTCTTTTTGCTTTTTCCAGTACTTAGCGGAATAATTCGTTCGAGAATTGCGGCAAATGCAACCAAATTAACACATAAAGTAACCGTTCGTACAATGGGTTGCTAAAAAGTGAAAAGCCCAATGCCCATATAATTTATTTTATGGTCAGAAATGAACAAGAAGGGTCTTGCAATTTTGATGCGAACCAAAATGAGACCCCTTTCCCCTGCATCTGTAAGTCTTTATTTTGACTTATATTTGATCGCATTAGAAGTCTCTCTAATTAATTAGCATAATCTCTGTTCTTGATTATGCCCATGTTAGTTATGCATAATTTCGTTAGGTGAGTTTTTATTATCTACTCTACAGAATAGAATCAATCAAATGCAATTTCCTCCACCGGAAAGTAACAATGTTTCATCTTCTCAGAATGCATTCTCCATTACCCGCAGGTACACAATTACTCTGTAAAGTATTAAAGATTTTATTTTTAGTTAACCAATAATCTTTCTTGAATTAGAAATATTATGCAGTATGTTTCTCTCGGAAAAATATTTGATGGGGTTTGACTTAGGAAAAGGAAAATTGAAATACAGTAAGAAACAGTTTTTATGTGGATCATGCCATATTTATGTAGTATATATAGGAGCAGAACGTTTTTGAATTTACAGTTTTTCCGAGTTTGTTCTTAGTATGAAATAAGAAACTATTTCATGTTGGATGTAAAGGTAAATATTAAACTTATTTGGGGATTTTCAGAAACTATGATCAAGTACGAGAGTCTATGCACTCTGCTATATCCATGAACAAGACAGAGATTCTAGATGCTGCTCTCAATGATTTCTCTGAGGTGAATTTCTTAGTTCCCATGTATGCCAAAACGACAATTTATTGGTAAATAGTATTGCATTGACCACGCACCAGTAATGTAGGGTTATTTTGTCCTTCCTATTGAAAGCCGTCGGAAATTACTTGTAACACTAGCCAGAGAATATGATCTTAGTCGGGAACAAGTTCGTGAACTAATGAAGCAGTATCTCGGTCTTGAGCTTCCTAGTGGTAAGTTGTGCTAATCTTTCTTTTGATCAATTTTTCCATGAAAAATGATGTGGGATTGAAGGCTGGTTGCTTGGTAATAAAGCTGTAGACAGTGGGCATGAAGAGGAAGGATCATTTTCTGCTTTCTATAGGATTGAGCGAAATTTGAGACACTCTCTCAAGCCAATGTATGAAGTTCTATTTGAACGGCTGAACACACACCCTGGAGGACTGAGATTCTTGTCCATTATGCGAGCAGACATACTATCTTTTCTCGAGTAAGGTTATGCACAACAAAATTTGTGATTTTTCTCATCTCAAATATGTATTTCACTTAATTTATGAGAGCTATAAATAAATGGATTGATGAGAAGTATGAAGTTCTCTTTGAGCAGGACCATTGTGGGAGCAGACATACTATCTTTTCTCGAGTCATGTTTTGGATATAAATTTTTTTATTTTCCTTGTTTCTTCATAAATTTCACTTGATGCATGAATGCTAAAAATACACGTATAGACAAAAAAACTGAAAGAAATAGACTTGTATATTCAAATCTCTTGCTTTTGAATTTGGCAGTTTTTTTCCTCTCTTGGGGCTAAAGACTTTATACCTAGAACCTTATTCTTTTTAAGTATGTCTTGAACAAATTAGGCTGAGACCATCAGCAATGGGCATGTAACTTTTTTACACACTATACCCACTTCATTGCCTACTCAATTTGACCAATTGTTCGGATTTCAGAACCTGGACTATAGGGTTTTTTGTAATTATAAAATGTTCAGATTGTACTTTGTGGTTATATTTTGAGTTAGCTGTGGTTAAAATTCGAGGTTTTGAGATTTCAGAGTTCTTTCTCTGTTATTATGTTTATTGTCTCTTGAATACATTTTTTCCTCTCCAATGGACTTTGATATCCCAACCAAACCACAACTTTTGTTTCTTTCATTTTCTCCATTGTTTACATCTTTATTGTGTATGATTTACATATTTGATGTCCAGTCGAATTGGTGTAACTCGATTTTATGGATGATCAGATATATTATACATTTTAGCTTGAGTTTACCCCTTGATGAAATTGGCAGCATCTTTTGAGGTGCTGTATCTAATACTGAAATTGTCCATCTAAATATGACATGTATGTCCATTTCAGTGTTGATCTAGTGAACTGTTTTATATCATTCTGTTCTTCAATACATTTCAGATTTTCTTGACAACGTTATTATTATTATTTTTTTTTTTCAAATGCAGAGAGGAAAATATTGCTGCTCTAAGGGCACTTGACTCATACTTGAAAGAAAAACTTATCACATGGCTCAGTCCTGCAAACCTCCAGCTTCATCTCATAACTTGGGATGATCCTGCGTCTTTGTTGGAGAAGATTGTAGCGTATGAGGTCTCTTTCTTGGCTCTCATCACATCAATGATATAGTCATTCCTTATGTTGCCCAATCTGACATGAGTAATTTTATCATTGGCATTCCACAGGCAGTGCATCCAATCAGCAATCTTTTAGATCTGAAGCGAAGGCTAGGTGTAGGTCGTCGTTGTTTTGGATATTTACATCCGGCTATCCCAGGTTAGCATTCTTTATTGTCTATTCTAGAGAAAAATTAAGGTACTGTTGGTCAATTCCTGCCACCATACTCTCTGAAAAATACATGCTACCATTCTCTTGAATACAATCAATAGTTGCAACAGAGGCCCAATAACAAATATCAACATGGACCTTTAATAGTTTGTTTAGCACGAGTTAAGACAATGTACCAAAATTTTGACTGACTGTGTGAAGCCTCATTGTCTGTTTGCTGATCATTTCAATATGGTCATGAGAAGAGCATGAAATTCCAACTGAAGATGGAAGTTACTCATGGTTTCGACCACCTTCCTCTGCTCAAAATCTGCATATTTCGTCATTTATCACCATTGCACTGAGTAAATTATGGAAGTTGTATGTACAATGCACTTCATGTAAAATTAGAGAAATTTTACATATAATTCACATCACGTGAAATATTTTAATTGTGTATCACTGGGTTGCATTGTACAACCACAGCATTTGATAGTTATGCAATAAAATGATTTATTTGTCTTCAGGCGAACCGTTGATATTTATTGAAGTTGCTCTCATGAAGACTGTGGCCCAGACAATACAGGTAGATTGCTTTCTACACAATATTATGAAGTTAGAGTATCAAGGTAACAATTATAATGAAAAACTTATTTCAGGAAGTTTTATGGGACGATCCCCCAATACCTGAATGTGAGGCAACATGCGCACTCTTTTACTCTATATCATCGACTCAAGTAAGTGCGAAATGATGCTTTGAAGATTTATTAATTTTAAACTTTTTTACATGTTTAAATTTTAATTTGTCAACTGAAGAGCTTATTTTGGTATCATTTCTATATATATTTAAATTTTAATTTGTCAACTTAAGAGCTTATTTTGGTATCATATTTTCAAAATCATAGTGTCAGTTTTTTTATGCTTATTCTAACAAACGAGATTTTTCTGGTTTAACTATTCAATGATGGGAGCACATCCTTTTTACTCATTTTCCCTTTACTTCAGTTGGGAATTATGTCTTGAAAAAAATAAAATAAAATAACTGACCAATGACCGAGTGGTTCCCCTTTAGAGTAAATATTTTTGTTCCTTTATTTTAGTTGGAGTCAACCTTGCTGATTCTCTCTGTTAATTTTAAGATATACTTTATTCTGAAAGATTTTGAATTTTGATAATGCATTTCTTTTGTTCTCTTCCAAGGTTTGCATCACTACAGCATAGTACTATTGTCTTCATGGTTATATCATTTACCATTTAACTTCCTGTTTAAGTGATTGTTGTTCTCTCTCATGTGCAGCCTGGCTTATCTGGCATCAACCTGGGAAAGTTCCTCATTAAACGTGTGATTGATGTTGTGAGGAAAGACATGCCAAGTATATCCGTAAGTTTTATATGATTAGACTTTGTTTAATTTTTGAAGGTCTTTAATCCAAACACTCAAATGTAAGATAGAAGTTTAAGATTTAACTCAATTACACCAGTTCTTTATCCAAGTAGGATTTCATGCTAATTATGTAGTCTCTAATCACTATGAATATTGAACCAAAGCATGCTGAAACTGGCCATGAAACTAGTAAAACAGTATGCCAATACTCACGTACACCTTGATTTAAAGATATAAAGTAGAGTTATGCATTTTGTACTATTTGTTCTTCCTCATGGGTGATAAAAACTGGATAACCCGACCACCAAAGCTGAAAAGTCCAATCCACCATGTTGGACTGGGGAAAGCCTTTGTCCACGATTTGATATGAATCAGATGCTGGTACTTACACCACATGAATAGGAATACCACCAACTCACTCCCGCTTTTTATTCGTAACTAAAAAAGGTACATTTACTATGTTTGATGAAAAACTATAATTGATACTTACACTCGATAATTTTCTTGAGCACTTCCCATTAGGGTTGCTGCTTTTCATTTTTAAACTTGTAACTTGAATTTCTTAGAGGGGAATATGACATTGCTTCCACAAATTCAACTTTTCCTGATTTGAATTATACATGAAAACTGCAAATAGTTTATTCGTATGCATTGGAGTTTGAGATTTATGGCATTACAATGTTATATGCTAGTTTTTGTTGTTCACATTTTGCTAGGCCATTTTCACCACCCACCTTGCCAATTAATTAATAGTCTGTGACACGATTTTTGTATGCTGTCAAAACGCAATGATTGTGAGTATGAACTTTCGGTACTATCAGTTTTGCTCGCTGTAATGCCAGCAATTATCTAGTTGCTGGCCTTCCTTCTTTCATTCTTCCTAGCGCCGTCCCTGTTAAGCCGATCATTAAAGATTACCTTCTTTTTGGAAGGTAATGATGAGTAGGATCACATCAAGACAAGGAACAATCTCTTTGCGCCCCATGTGTGCAAGTTGACCTAACTGACTTTTTGGTTCACCAGAGATATTGAGTTTTGTTTCTGCTAATTACAATTTGCAAAATCTTTCTCCCCTGCAGACATTTGCAACGCTTAGTCCTATACCAGGTTACATGTCATGGCTTTTGTCAAAGTTGGCATCTGCTGAGAGATCTGATTCCACTTTCAACGAACACTTGCTGAAACCAGAGGAAGAAAGTGCACTCATTGATGCAGCTGGGTAAGCACACATTTTGACAATTTCTTGCTGATGATATGTTTAGATTTCTCCATGTTTCTGGTTCTTTTGGGGGCAGGGTGGGGCGGGGCAGGGGATGGGCAGAGCATGACTATGCATGGAAGTTTAAACCCTTCCTTTCATTAATTCTGAGGTAGCTCAAAGGAGTTAAGTGATTTTATTGCTTTCTGTTTCTAATGTACCCAAGGCAGTCATTTACTCTCTATCGGGCTGTCATCATTGACAGGATTTGGAGGATAAATGAGTCCCTCATTCTCTCTTCACAGACCTTCAAAGTTTATATATTTCAACTATGTCATTCTTGCATCCGATAGTGTCACTTTATATGTGCTGATGATACCTAACATCTTTCTCCATATGTTTTTTGTTTAAGAGCTTGACAGCATACAGAAAGTGATCCTTTTCCCCTATGCTTACATTGAACCATAGCTAAACGAGTCTCTCATTCTCTCTCTCCATGGTCTGAAATCAAATTATATATCTTTAAGGAATTTCATTTCTATTTATTTGTCATTCCTGAATTACCGAGGATCATCGTCGCTTTTGATGAGTCGGAAAACAAAAACTTTATCTTCACCATCTGCTTAAATGTAATGACATCTTCTAGTTAATTTGTCTATGACAGAGAATTAGCAACCGGGAAAAATGGGATGGAAGTAATGTGCAAGTTGTTAGCGTCGCCCAAATATGAGTGGACCAATTCAGCCCAGTTGATGTCTGTGCTGAATACCCCCTTAATGCGACTATGTGCCAGGTATGTTCTTGAACGTATAGCCTAGGAGGTTTGATCAGTCGTGCACCAATAATGCAAAAAACTGAAAAATATGGACGTGCAGTCGTATATCTATTTCTGTACCGCTGCTTTAATGATGTATGCTTTCTGCATCATTGGCTTCCACTCCGTCTACAGGTACCTTCTTCAAGAGAAGAAAAGAGGCAAGGCTCTAGACTCTGTTGCAAATTTTCATTTGCAAAATGGAGCGGTGTGTAAGCAATTATAATAAGCATAATAGCTTCTGCTTCCTTTTTGCCGGTTATATTTTGTTCAATCCTAATTCCTGTCAGCATGTCTATTTCAACAAATTCACAAGTGTTAGCATTATGATTATTATTAATCAAAATTTGTTATCGTATTTTTACAGATGGTTGGAAGACTAAATTGGATGGCTGATCGATCAGATAAAGGCCTTAAGCAGAGTGCAGGAATAATGGTCAACTACATCTACAGGTAAGACTATGGAACACTGTTGTTTAGTTCACATTATTTCCCAACTTGCCTAAGAGAGAAATTGGGTATCTACACTGTAACTCGTTAAACTCATGATGCCTTCCAGACGGGGGTGGAGCTAGGACTTAATGCTACAGGGGGCAAAAAAATTTAAAAATTTAATGATAAAATTTATATATAATAAGAAAAATCTCACTTAATATTCTTTATCTATACCAATGTTTTGTTTTGTTGGACAGTTACCAGTTGGAGAAAAATTAATAAATTACTTACCCTAAATCCCTAACCCAAGTCGACAGAGTCGCTGACGATGAGACGGTGGTAGGTGGTTCGGCTGCTACGGGCAGGGGCAAAGGTGAAAAGATTTAGGGATTTTATTTTTGGGAATTATTTCAATTGGAAATAGGGGATTATACGTGAAGTCGTGAATAAGAATAGGAAGAAGAAATGGGATAATGGATATTATCTATTGATACAAATAAGTAGGCTTAAAATTATATAAATTAGTGGGCTAAAGATTAAAAAAAAAAAAAAAAAAAAAAAAAAATTTTAGTGCATTTGGACCTGGGCAACGGTGGGTTCTGCAACCCACCATTAAATCTGCCCATGCTTCCAGACTTGCTTTTCTATATCAAACTTCTATGATAATTGACCCATGAAGTTTTTGAAATTGATAATCACTTGATTATAGGTTTTACAGCATGTAATCATTGCAATTTGGGTAAAGTTTAAAGTCTGACTGGCCTAAACTGCTTTAATGAAAATTGCAGGGTGGAAAATATTGAGGAAAATGTTCAGTCATATTTTAGTAAAGGGCAAACTCAAGCTTCTCCTGATGTCAGAATCTACCTTGAGGTAATTTATTGTCTTCTAGAATTTCTCTATATTTTTATTACAAGATGCATCACTCTCCGTTCCCACTCCCACGTGCACAAGGCACACAATTTACGTGCTCTTATTGAGTTTAAGTCGATGCAACCACAGGAGGATCATGAAGAAACTAAGGATTAGATGTTGCAAGATTGTATTGTAAGTACAATGTTATTATTTTTGAATATGCTTCAATAAATGTGTTCTTATTGAGTTCAGTTTCTGCAAGATAGTATTGTAAGTACAAATTATTATTATTTTTGTGGAACAAAGTGTGTATATGCTTCAACAAAATGGTAGCATACTGAAAGTTTTTCCTTATAATTTCTGATCAAAACATTTCGTGTACATTATCTGCTAGGACAGATATACATTGTCCTGCAATATTAATTGCTAAACAAGAATCTCTGTCACTTTTTAACTTTCCTCGTGACTAACTTCCAAGACATAATCTCTCATAAGTCTTGTATTATGATCATCCACCATCTGTTAATATACAAGTAAATACTTGGTCAATTAAACAGCAAGTTAGAGGAGGAACTAATAATAAGTAATATTGACTATACCTTTGATGCCAAACGCTTTAGGTTGTCCCATTCAAAATCATTCTTGCAATATGCAGATCGAACCTTCATGGAGAAGATGTATTTAGAACTAGAAAAGAATATGAATACAACAATTTTTTATTTAGGGCTCGTTTGGTGGGGTTTTATAATAGTCAAAAGTTACTTCTGAAATTAAAAAGTTGCTTTTGAACATGTTTTAGGGCTTGTTTAGCATATTTTTGAAAAGCCTAAATGAACTTTTGAAATTCAAAAATTGCTTTTGAACCCGTTTGGTTATTTTTATGAATGTGTTTCTTCTGGTTAAAAGAGTTTTTGGAGGAAGCTGGTCTAATATTACTCTCTTCTGAAATAGGAATTTCTTTTGAAAGTTAATTTCAATAAAAAATTAAGGTAATATCTAGTCTGGTCATGATTTGTGCTGTGTTGGTTTGGTTTGGTTTGGTTTGGTTTGGTTAATCTGTTTAATTAAGGTAATATCTAATCTGGGCATGATTTGTGCTGTGTTGGTTTGGTTTGGTTAATCAGTTTGAATACTGGAAAGAGCTAAAAAAGAAAAAAAAAAATTGCAGTAGTCGACTCAGTTTGATTTGATCGATTTAGTCGGTTTTATGAATTTTTTGCCCACTCTTTCAAAAGTTCTAGTAGAAGTAGAAGTAAAAGTAAAAGTAAAAGTCATGTTAAGTGGATCTTTAATAATTATAACTTCCTTTAAAAGCTATTATACAAGAAGTAAAAGCAAAAGCAGAAGTCTAGGCAGGTTTTACAAGAAAAATACTGACCTCTAATATGCGCAAAGCTGCAGAGCAAACCAGGGAAATTCTAAGTGTTAGCAACTACATATAATTAATTTTGCATGTAAAGTGAGATATTTAAGGTCGTTGATATGCACCTAAAGTTTTATGCCTTGGTGATTCTCGCATCAAATCAGCACAAAACTTATTCCCATCATTTAGAGAGTGTCTTTCAAGAAACTCCATCAATTCTGCATGTGCCTCACGATTGTAGCTCTGCTCTGTCAACCAACTTAAGATAAAATTCATCCAAATACAGAAATAAACCAAGAATTTCTTGTGGGCCGGGGGACGGGATGAAACAAACAAAAAGAAGGGGAACCTCTAGCTGTGCATTGACAATTCTAACAGCAATGTACGTGAAGAAGTTGTGCAGGTGCTTTGCTGCCTTGGCTTCTGGAGAGGCTTCACCAAATCCTGTAAACAGATTTGTTTAGTACCAAGTACATGAGAGAAGAAATAGTAAATTTTCGAATGGGTAAATGGGATTTTGATTAATTGCACTCACCGGGGACATACATCTTGTTACATTGGATGGTTGTGAAAAAATTTCTTCTTTTCATTCTGGTTCTGTTATGGGGTTTTGGTGGGAGAAAGGAGAATTGGGAGACTGGAACAAGTGTGGAGGATTCCATGGATGATGCTTGCTTCTGGTTACTTTTTGGAGTTTGAATATCTGATTTGTGTGTGGAGGAAATAGCACAAGATTGAAAATATCTCTAATCGCCTTTTGAAAATATCTTCTGCTTGTTAAAATCTCAGAAAAATCCTTCAAACTGTTAATAATAACAACCAACTTTATTTCATGAAGAAAAAAAGTCGAAATTATATTAAAGTCGTTAAAGACATAATTTCAAATGAATACTCGTAATTCATCTTTATTAACTTGAAACTTTTAGATGAAACTGATATTGTGATATTAGAGCTAAACAAAATACTTGAATCCAAGTCTTAGTATCACTCATTTGAATAATTGTCAGCATGTCCGGCCATGTAAGGCTTTTTATTGAGAAAAAACCGAACATTTACCCACACATAAGGGATCGTGTTGAAAACATACTTAAATAGTCATCCGTTTGATGATCATTATTTGAAAATTCTTTTTTTATATACTCATTTTAATCATACATTCACACAATAAAACATTCTGAATATAAATCAAAAACTTTTTAACTACATATTCTCTTAAAAATCATGATTCAAAACATTATTGTTATTATTTTTCCAAATAATGACCATGAACAGGGGCTAATTATATGTGACTGTCTCGATCAACTTGAGCTTTTTGAGCAAATGATTGACCATAGGCATAGAGCCAACTCCAATCCGGGCGGTTTCCATCTTGGTCAGGTAGATTACTCTAAAACAATGGCCTGGCAATGGGCAGGACACAGTTGCTTTCGGCACCGTCGTACCATGTAAATGTTCCAAATGTTCTTCTCTTGATTACAAGGCATTATACTTTTCCTTTTTTTAAAATTCTTCTTAAGTGAAAATATATAAACAATTCCAATACTACACTAAGAAAATGCCTCAATAATCAGGGACGGATTCAAGATTGAATTCAAGACCGGACTACAAAATTTCAAATTGGACTACTACGCCAAAAAAAAAAAATTTTACACATAAAAAATTAGTTTTTTACCAAAAACAACAAAAAATACCTTAAAACAAAACTCTTGGGCCTGAGTGCGGGGGGCTGCAACCCACCCCACTAAATCCGTCTCTGTCAATGATAAGTAGTTACTTGGTAGGATAATCCCCTCGAGTGAGAGTGCAAGAATGACAAGGCAAGAGATAATTATAAGCTTTTTTTGGTGACAGTAATTAACATTTTAATTAGATCAGTTTTAATCATACATTTAACTGAATCCACAATATTTACCAATTTCTACTTAGAAATTTCATCGATTTTTATTAAAATATGCTAAGATTTTTATCAGACGGACCCCATAGTTACGTAATGCAATATACAATAATATTATTAAAGACGGCTGTTTATGAAACAAGACAATATGGCATATTGGCATTATGCATTCAACAGCTTAGGTTTTCATATGGAATCTTATAATTTGATCATCGCCAATTCCATTTTCTTCTCTTTCTCCTCTAAAAAATGAGCATTTCATCAAAACCAGAAACACTTATTTTACAGTCAACTTTTTTTCTTCTTCTTTTGTTGATTTTCAGTGTTGAAGCCAAGTGTAGAAAAGGATGTGACCTTGCCTTGGCTTCATATTACATTTGGGAAGGATCAAATTTGACTTACATTAGCAACATCTTCAAACAAAAAATCCCTGAAATTCTCCTATTCAATCCTCAAGTTTCAAGCCCAGATACTATTCGGAGCGGTACGAGAATCAATGTCCCATTTTCATGTGAGTGTTTGAATGGTGATTTTTTGGGTCATACGTTCGAGTATAAAACGGAAGTGGGCGATACGTATGTTAAGGTTGCCGGTTTGGCGTTTGCTAACCTTACTACACAGTATTGGATCCAACGGGTCAACAATTATGAACCGACTCAGATACCCGATTTTGCTCTCATCAACGTGACGATTAACTGTTCGTGTGGTGACAGGCACGTGTCGAAAGATTATGGGCTGTTCACGACGTACCCTCTTCGTCCTGGGGAGAACTTATCGTCGGTGGTGAATGAGACTGATCTTCCGGCTGATTTGCTGCAAAGATTCAATCCGGACTCGGATTTTGGTGCTGGATCCGGGATAGTTTTTCTGCCGGCAAAAGGTGAGTAAATTTTCGTTAAAGGAATCATTTTGCATGGGGAGACGAGTCTTATTGCTTTACCATCATTAACTTTGAAAAACAATCTATGGATTAAATTTGAACTACAATTTTACTGAGTAATATTTAATGTGACACGCAACCGTTCAATTAAATATTTTATCAAATTTTACCAAAATATATTAAAATTTAATTTTTAGTTACATTTAATATGGGCATAATGCGAAGAGAATGGGAGGACAGAAAACAAAGACTAGGACAACAAATCAATAACTGTTAAAATACTTGACTTTGTCAACATAATAAGTCCCCGTTTGATTTTCATTATTTTTAAATTCATTTTTTCTATAGAATCATTTTCAACTACATATTCATACAATACTATTTAATTTTTTTTTTTTAAGAATAACTACCAAACATGCATTAAATATAAAAATCTTGTCGAAAATGGTTGTACCGGACCTTTTTACGACAGATTTTCTAATTTGAGCCATTTTACACCTAACATGAAATTTTGTGTCAATCTTTGATTTGACGTAATAATTCAGAGTTGGTTATGTGATCAATGATACAAGTAAGGGTAGGCCCCAACCTGGTTGGTAATAAGGAACGACCCAACTCGGCCCGACTCGATTCTGATTGGTCGACATTTTTTTTTCAAATAGCCTAATGAATCCCCATTTGCCCAAAATAAAATCAGAAAAATCTTAATTTTTTTTTTTTTTTTTCAATTGAGGATAGTTTGTCATTTTCGTAAGCCATGATATCGTAAAAAATTTAAACGAAACAAGGTAACTTAATTTAATAAGAAACATACTAATGAAATTAAATACAATCAAAATAGTCATCAAGCATGAAAAGAAAATTTAAATATTACAGTTATCCAACAATTAAAAATATTACAGTAATCTAAACTCAATAAATAAGAAAATAAAAATACTACAATCATCCAAAATCAAAATTCTCATTAAACAAATAGTTAGGTAAAATTTTACGACTTTCCAATTGTCGCATAAACTTTAAGCACCATTCCTACAATAAAAATAATAAAAATCCTCAGAGAAAAAGATAAATATTACATTAAAAAGGAGTTATGCCATTAGAATACATATCTACCTCAAAAATTTAGAAATGAACTAATCACATTGATTTAGCCTTCATTTGATTTCTCCGATTCCTAAAGCTCTACAAAAAATAATGATTAAGTGAGGAATAAATTTGATAAAATACATATTTAACATAATTCATGGAATAGCTACATTACCTTCATCTAACTTATTATATTCCTCCACATCTTCCATATAGAATTTCTCCATATTTGTAGACTCTTTAATCCAATTTTTTGTACACACCAAAACTTCCACCATCTTAGGAGTCAAAAGAACTACAAAATGGATCAAGAATTCTTCCTTTGGCACTGATTGCAAGTTTTGACAATGTACCATATTTGTTTCCATTAACTTTCCACCAATTAAGAACATCAAAAGTATCGTCCTCAATATCTTCACAAGCATTTATCCACATC